TTATCTTATATAAATAAAACATTATTAAATAGATAAAATAAAATAATAATTTTATAAATTAATTTTATTAGGATTGGTATAAAATTAAATAAAAATAAAAAATAAATATTATATTAAAAACTAATATAATATTTATTTGAAAATTTTTTAATACGACACTTAATTATTATAAAAGCGGAAGTCAAATTTATCTTGTTTATCTTATTTTCATTTTCAATTAATCTTATCTTATTTTATCTTTACCGAGATTAAAATAAATAAAAAATCATCGATAACTTGTGTTTAATGAGTGAACCAATAATATATCGAGAAAATTATATAATCGTAATAAATAAATAAAAAAAAGGTTTTGTTCAACTTTCAACTACCCCTAATAAATATATGTCTAGATTATATAAGCAAGTAATATTATTAAATATTTGCGTTTCTCGCGTGTGTATATACCATTAATGTCTAATTATATGCCTTAGTTTGGAGGGAGCTAATTGGAAGAAGGAATAGTAGTTCCAACAATTTGTGATGCCTCGCTGGGGATTTTAATAGTGTAAGATATGAAACAGAAAGAGTCAACCTCCATGGAGCGATCCTTAACTCCGTGGACACGACAATGTTCAATGAATTTATTGCTAATATGGAAGTTGAGGATATTCCTGTAGTGGGTAGACTTTTTCACTACTAGAAAATTGTTGTTTAACATCGTTAAGTAGAACTGATGTAAAAATTGGATGCAGTGGCATATTCGTAAATATGAGTTAAATGTAAAGTAAATTTACATCGGTTATGTATAAAACCGATGTAATTATTAAGCATTTTACATCATTTTTATTTGAACCGATGTAGATTTAAATCCGCGGTGGCATTTTTATAAATATTTACAAGTAGATCTACATCGATTTTCAAAATAACAGATGTAGTATAGAAGCTAGGGTTGTGCGTTGCAATGTGAAGTGCCTCAAAGCCATATTATATTGCTTTTGGAACCAAACTTCAAGCCACATTGGCAATGATGGCTATTGAAATCACAGAAAGACATGCTGTTGTACAAGGGATTCCTCTTGTTCAAGGCTCAGACAGATATTTTTGGTTTGGTCAGCCTCAGTTAGTCCTGATGCATCTCCATCTCATTTGGTATGGATAAATTTTTGAAGATGGAATGCAAAATGTTGCTGTGGGGTTACTTAATTTTCATTTCTTTCAATTATGTTACCAGCAAGCATTCAGTGATTTCCAGTCTATTTTCTAACCCTCCTATTTTTATCCAATTGTTACCTTATTTAATCTTGGTATTTGTAAAACCTGTATCTATAACTCGCTGTTTTAGAAATTTAGTTGAAACTGTAACAAGACTCTTGGAGTTCTATCACACTGGCAATTATTTAGCACATCTACTGTCTTGAAACTCGTAAAGTAGAGTTTTGTCCTTGATTTAAATTTCAATAAAACATGCTTTTTTTTTGTACTTTTGTTGTTCCTAGTATCTATAGCATTTTTTGTGTGCAATAAAAGTAGTTCCTCACTGTCAGCGAAATGCATAACTTTTATATTATTATGTGTGTTTGCATTTTTCATGCTTTGTTTCTGGTGGAGTGTGTAGACAATAAACGACTTTAGTTGTGTGGTTTAACGGTTGTGTTATGGTGTTGTCGGTGGATTGTTATGCTTGGATTTGGCTTATAGTGGTGCGTGTTTATGATTAGGGGTTTGTGAATCGTGTTGTGGGGGTGGAGTTAGGAAGTTTGTTTCATTTTTCTCATTTTCTTTACAAAAACAGCTTTATTCTGAAAAAATAAAATTTGTTTGATGAGGTTTTAGTGGCCCCACTTATATTTGTTGCACGCTTGGATTTGACTAGTTAGAAGATCCACACTGGAGGAGCTCCTTGATGCGGGCGGCGTCAACGGCGCGGTCGCGGGTGACGGCTACGTCCTCGCGAAGATAGAGGAGGAGAAATTGATTATGGAGGCAGCTTCTTCCAAGATGTTCAACAAAGAAGATTACATTGTCTTCACCCTAGCTTCTATACTACATCTGTTATTTTGAAAATCGATGTAGATCTACTTGTAAATATTTATAAAAATGCCACCGCGGATTTAAATCTACATCGGTTCAAATAAAAATGATGTAAAATGCTTAATAATTACATCGGTTTTATACATAACCGATGTAAATTTACTTTACATTTAACTCATATTTACGAATATGCCACTGCATCCAATTTTTACATCAGTTCTACTTAACGATGTTAAACAACAATTTTCTAGTAGTGAAAAAGTCTACCCACTACAGGAATATCCTCAACTTCCATATTAGCAATAAATTCATTGAACATTGTCGTGTCCACGGAGTTAAGGATCGCTCCATGGAGGTTGACTCTTTCTGTTTCATATCTTACACTATTAAAATCCCCAGCGAGGCATCACAAATTGTTGGAACTACTATTCCTTCTTCCAATTAGCTCCCTCCAAACTAAGGCATATAATTAGACATTAATGGTATATACACACGCGAGAAACGCAAATATTTAATAATATTACTTGCTTATATAATCTAGACATATATTTATTAGGGGTAGTTGAAAGTTGAACAAAACCTTTTTTTTATTTATTTATTACGATTATATAATTTTCTCGATATATTATTGGTTCACTCATTAAACACAAGTTATCGATGATTTTTTATTTATTTTAATCTCGGTAAAGATAAAATAAGATAAGATTAATTGAAAATGAAAATAAGATAAACAAGATAAATTTGACTTCCGCTTTTATAATAATTAAGTGTCGTATTAAAAAATTTTCAAATAAATATTATATTAGTTTTTAATATAATATTTATTTTTTATTTTTATTTAATTTTATACCAATCCTAATAAAATTAATTTATAAAATTATTATTTTATTTTATCTATTTAATAATGTTTTATTTATATAAGATAA